CAGGAGCTTTTGGGGACACCTTATATACAAACCATGTTCCTCCTTACTTCTTCTGATTCCAAAAAACGACACCATTTTCCACCTGGATAATCCAAAGCCAAAAAGTTATTCTTAATTTTTCCATTTCCCTTACCCCACATCTTACTTCCCACCAAAATGTGAGAATTGGTTCTCTCACTTAAGTCCCCACATTTACTTCTGGCCAATCTTTGTAGTGTGGCCTAGTTTCTAATACATCTTCCTATTTTCATTCTTGTCCTTCTCTAAGCTCCATTTATCATATCATGCTACCTCCCTGCTCAAGATTCTCCAGTGGTGTCCCATTGCATTAATAATAAAATTCAAATTCACCGAAGTGGCTTGTAAGGCCTTATATGCTCTAGTACCTCTCTACTTTGCTATCTTGCCCATATACTATTCTCCTTTCTTGTAGCCTCCTTTCTGTTTATCAAATATGCCTAATTCCTTCCTAAGAGTATTTGTAACTGTTTATTTTTCCATCTACCTTATAATTCTCAAACCTTGGTTGAGAATATAGCTCAGTGGTAGAGCACTTGCCTGGCAATCATGAGACCCTGGGTTCAATCCCCAGCATGACATAAAAAAAAAATTCTCTAACACTGCTGGGTCTTGTCACAATTCAGCCTTATTACTATTCCTTCAAACAGGCTTCCCTGACTCAAAATATAAATTAACCACCCTTTTCCCTCACCCAGCTACTCTCTATACATTACCCTACTTTATTTTCTTTGGAACCCATCAGTATCTAAAATTATCTATTATTATTATTATTATTATTATTAATTTTATTGTTTTTAGAAAACGTCTTTATTTTTTGCCTCCCCTAACTATAAAGTGACTCTATGGCTGCGGAAATCTTTTCTGTCATTATCACCATGTTCCCAATGCTTAAGATAGTAATAGTACAAAGTAGGTACTCAGTAAGTATTTATTAAATGAGTGATGCACATGGTCAGGAAAGAGACAGGTGTTGTCAGTTACATTAGGATATCAACTATATTAATACAGGGAGAGGAGATGAAAACTACTTTAGTCATCATCTCCTTTCTTTTCTGATTTAATGTAGCAGGCTGTTAAACTTTATTACTAGCTTTAAGATCTTTTTCCTTCAATACATTTCCAACTTTAAATTACTACCACTACTCTTTCCTCTTCCTCCTCCTCTTTAATCAGCCTCTTGTTTTTCATCCTTCTCCTCCTTCTCTTTTGTATTTCTCTTTTCCCTTTTCTCAGTATTCTTTGCTCCTTTGTTGGCTTTTTGAGGCAAAAATAGAATGAAAGAAACTACATATACTGAAGCTGCAATGTGATGTTTTAATTTTTTATGTTCATAAAGTCATCACAACAATTAAAATAATAAACATATCCATTACTTCCAAACATTTTCTCCCTGTTTTTCTTTTCTTTTCCTTTCTACCTTCCTTTCTTCCTTCCTAGGAATTTTCCTTCCAAGGAATTTTCCTGGCATGAGGATATTCAAGTGTTTTTCTCCAATCTGATTTAAAAAAATTCTCTCAATGGGCTTCTAGAGAGCTTCCGGATGGGGACTGGCTATCAGAAAGGCTGAGACTTGATTAAAATCCTGGACTTTCAGCCTTATCTACACTGTCCCCACCTCTTCGGAGAGGAGAGAGGCTAGAAGTTGAGCTAATAATCAGTCAAGCTTACATGATGCAACCTCCATAAAAAAAAAAAAAAAATTTAATGATGAATTTTGGAGACCTTCCAGGTTGGTGAACACCTCCAGGTTCTGGGAAGGTGGTGTGCTCCATATGGCAGCTCTATGCAAGTCCCTTCCCAGCACCTTGTCCTGTGAATCTTCTCTGTTTGGCTGTTCCTGAATTGTATCTTTTATAATAAACTAGTAATAGTAAGTAAAGTGCTTTCCTGAGTTCTGTGATTCACTCTAGCAAATTATTAAGCCTTGAGTATGGATGGGGGGTAGACATGAGAAATCCTCGTTGTGGTCTGGATCTGGTATTTTCCCTGAAGTCTCATTTCTTGAAGGCTTGGTCCTCAGTACAGGAAGGTTCAGAGGTGGGCTTTTGGAAAATGATTGATCATGAGGGCTCTGATGTCATCAGGGGAATAATCCACAGACAGCTTCATGGACTACTGGGAGGTGGCAGGAACTAAAGGAAGATGGGGCATTTTCGAGGATATAGATCACTGGGGCATGCCCTGGGGACTATCCATCCTAGGTGCCTACTTTTCTCTGTGCTTTCTGACTGCCATGGGCTAAGTACCTTTCCTCTGCCTTTCTTCTATAACATTCCTGCCTTGGAACCAGCTGACCACGGACTGAATCCTCTGAAACCATGAGCCAAAACAAAGCTTTCCTATTCTAAGTTATTTTTCTCAAGTATTTATGATAGTGATAAAAATTTGACTAAAATATCCCTGATTTATAGTCAGTTGGTCAGAAGTATGAGTGGTCTGGGAATTGTAACTGACAATGGAAATGGGGAAGCCTTGTGGGGATGATTCCTTTAACTTGTGAGATCTGATGCTAACCTCACATAATATCAGATTTGAATTGAACTCTTCAATATGCAGTTGGCATTGGGAAAATCAGAAAATTGTTTGTTGGTGTTGGAAAATATCCAAATAGTATAAGACTTCCAACACTGTTCTTCAAAATTATTTTGGCTGTCCTAGGTCCTCCTTTGTATTTCCATACAACTTGTAGAAATCAGCCTGTCAATTACTCAAAAAGCAAGCAAACAACAACAACAACAATAACAAAATCTTCTGGGATTTTGACTAGTATTACTTTTAGTCTATAAGTAAAATTGGGAGAACTGACATCATAATCCTGTGGTTTCTGATTTACAACATAGTATCTGTCTCCATTTATTCAAGTGTTATTTAATTTTTCTCATCATTATTTTGCATTTTCAACATATAGATTTGATAAACCTTATGTCAAAATGATCCCTAAGTATTGCGTAACTTTGGGACTATTGTAAGTGGTGTTGCTTAAAAATTTTTTAATTTCTAAAAATTATAGAATTTCTGAAAATTATAAAATTCTATATATTTCTGCCAATATATAGAAATACAATGGTTTATTTTGTATATCAATCTTATATCCTATAACTAACTTTTTAGAACTAAGCTTTCTTACAGATTATTTGGGATTTTTAAAAAATAATCATGCTACCTGTGAATAGAAACAGTTTAATTCTTCCTTTCTCGTCTGGATACCTTTTATTTCTTTTTCTTACATGATTATACTGGCTCCAACTCCCAGTAACTTCCTGAATAGAAACAAGAGTAGACATCCTTGCATTGGTCTTCATCTTAAGAGAGAAACATTCAGTCTTCCAACCTTAGGTATATGGTTGTCTTTAGAATTTTTTTTTTTAAGATGGAAGAAGTTCCCTTCTAATCCTAATTTGCTAAGTCATTTTTGTCATGAATAGATGTTGGATTATAAGAAGCACTTTTTATATATATTTTTAAAAATTCTATATAAGAGAAATTTATAATTTGTTTCCTGTTTAAAAACCAAAGGTTTCCCATCACTTTTAGAATAAAGTCTTATCATGGTATATATCTCCCACCTCTTCTCAAAATGTACTCTATACTATATTAAATTACTTAGATTTAACTTAAATTACTTTATTATCAAATTACTTAGAATTCTATGAATGTGCCAATGCTGTTTCAGTCTTCTGTGAATATTCTCAGATTCTGTTTATCTGGAATATCTTCTTCCTCATCCCAGATCCCTTAACCTTATATCTGCCGCAGATACCAAATCAATCAGTGAATTCCAACTGTTCTTTAACAACCAAGATTGAAACATCACTTCTTTGACAATCACTCATTCTTCAGTGTTAAATATGTTGGGCTCCTACCTCTATTGTAGATGCTACCACCCTGAGTGCAGTTATTTGTTTACTTTGTCTCTTTCCCAAATAAATTGTGAGCAATACAAGGATAAGGACAATGTTCAGAAAAAAATGCTTAGCAAAATGCTCAATAGAAAGTGGGCCCTAAAGAAATAAATATCTGCAAAACTCTTTGAAGACTGGTAAGTTGTCCAGAAAATCCAATGTATTATTCTTGCATTATATCCTACTGTATAAATGTACTGCTTTTTATAAGGGTTCTAACATGCAAAATAAGGAATCATGTTACATTAACATAATTATCATCAACATATGTCTGCTAATTTACTGGCTAAAGCCAATGTCAAAATCAGGCCCTGTGTATCTGTGCACCAGGGCACCACCAATGATACCTTATAGATAGTTATGAGGTCATTCATTTATACCTTACAAAAGCCTAGAGGAAAGTCCCATTATTATCTCCATTTTAAAAATAAGGAGATAGTGACACAAATTCAAATACAGAACTAAAAATAGCAAATCTGGCCTTTCAAATAAGATGGTTCAGCTCCAGAGCCTAGTCTTTTAATTTATATATTAAGTAACAAAATTTACAAATGATGATACTACTTTTACATTGATTTATTTCATCATATTCACAGAATATAGTTATAATTAGTTATGCTGCATGCAAAGAAGAAGAATGGCTTCCATGTTTCTGATACTGGACTTATGAATATATTCTGGATGGCAAGGATAGGAGGAGGCTGCTTGAAATGTTCACTGACAACTAGTTTTTCACAAGCTATAACTTTTAAAACACTGGCTAACAATGTAACTTTTATTGAATTCAGTATTTTAGGAAAAACTATCCAATAAAGTGAATTGAAAATGATTCTATATGACATGTTAGGTTTCATACACTTATTCTATAGTTACAATGACATTGGTGAATCTTTATACTGTATTGGGAATATAAAATGTTCCATAAACCTGGAATACTCATATAGACTTTACTTAGAATAGAGAAACTGAGAGAATGAGTAGGAATTTAAAATTGATTCCCAATATGAAGTTCTCGTAAAACCTTATGTCACTACTAATATTTTGAAGACATTTTAAAAATTATATAAAATAAGTTACCTGTAAATGAAACAGAACTTTTTTATTTCTTTCTATTTCTGATGTTTGGGATTGTTGTTTTGCAAGTTCCTCTACAATTTCAGTTAATGATGATGTATCTTCTTTACCCACAGCTAGATAAAAGAATAAAGTATATGATAAAAAACTAAATGAAGACATTTTAAGACACTTATGTTTCTTTATAGGAACATGAAAAATTAGGTGTTTTTTCTGATTTAAAAGAAAAGTACATTTAGGATTGGTAATCCTCCCTGATTCTAGATAAAACCATAATCAAAGGAAATAATAGTAGGCAATTCAAAGTTGCCTACTGCAATGCCATAACTGTTCTTTTATGAAAAAATATAAATATTTTGGTTGTCCTAATTATAATTATAGTGCCACCACAACAACTCAATAGCAATTATAGTTGATGGATTTTCAACATAGGCCTGTATTTTCAGGTTGTTATAGCTTTTTTAAACTCTGAGTACATTTCTTCCTGGTGAAATATAACTGCCTCCTTCTACTTTATTATTCCTTCTAACACAATTATCCTTTTGTACTACTTTTTATTGGTGACCTTTTAATTATTTATTTCTTAAGATTGATTCACTACCATCTTTAGGAACTTCTTCACTCTTCCTTTCCTTGCTTCCTGACATTCTCATTGTCTGTAATCTCCTATTTTCCACTGTCTGGCTCACCTTCTTTACTCCTACAAAAACATCTATATTGTTATAAATTGTCAAACATGTCACAGGAATGCAATGACATTTCACCAATGGTATGAGTAATTAAAAGACAATGATTAAGTGAGAGATTTTGGAAGAAAAGTTGAACCGTATTTGAATCTTGGTTCTCCTGCTTTTTAGCTGTTATGACCTTGAGTAAGTTTCTTCTTTGATGCACTGTGTCCTCATTTTTCCAAACACACACACACACACACACACACACAATTGGTGAGAATTAGTTCTAAGAATGCTTTAGCAATCTCTACCATGAATATAGAATGTGGGGAATGTAGCACTCCTGTCCAGTGTTATTTTGGTCAGGGTAAGACCTAAGCAGGTTGAAAATCATGTGCCAGTGTACTTGCGTTAGGAATAACTGATAAGATGAAGGAGTACATATTTTTCTCCATTGAAAGATGAAGAGAAAGTTGTTCCAAAATAACAATGCTGAGTTGGCAGAAGTAAGGGCATTATGGGCTTTAGGAGAAAAGGTCTCAAATCTGCCTGTCCATTCCTACTCAGAGAAAATGGTTCAAGTTTTTATGATATGTAAATGGAATTCAATGTCAATAAGTACTTTTGAAATTGGAAGCTGCCATTTTCCATTAAACATAATGGTTTTTCTATTCAGATGACTGATCCTTTTTAAAAAACTCTTAATTGATTTATATAGAATCTGTGCATCTTCCCAAATTGTACTCAAGTGATTACAAGCTTTGCAAGAAAAAGAAAGAAAGAAAGAAAGAAAGAGAAAGAAAGAAAGAAAGAAAGAAAGAAAGGAAGGTAGGTCGGTCATAAAGTAAGGCACATGCTAGGAAACATTTAAAATCACTAAATATGTTTCCTAAAAATTATAGACAAAGTATTCCTGCATTAGTCACACATCTTTTAAAAGATTAAAACATGATATATAAATAAAAAGAGAGAAAATCAAAGTTAAGTTGCTCTCTACCCGAGGAGACTTAAGTCTATCCAGAATATCCTACCATGCAAAAGAAAGCCTGGGAGCTTAACTAGCAGATTTTTATAATCACCCCTGAGAATTTATGATTCTTTCCTGCCTCTTCAGGTCACTTCCTTCAAATCTCACCTCAAATGTACCACTTTCCTGAAGTCTTTCCTGATGCCGAGTCCATTTACTCTGTTCAAGTCATTATTCTAAGTCCTTTCCTCCTAGCACACAGAACTGTCCCAGATCAATTCTAACAAATCCAAATCTAATTTTTCTCTCCAGCTCTTTAGTTTGCCTTTCATGCTCATAGACAACATCCTTATTCTGCCTACCTAACGTGAAATTACATGCCTTTATACTTTCAGACAGTTCTCTCCATAAGTTTTTATACCGTGCTTGCTTTATGCTGGACATTATTATAAGTGGTTTAGATAAAACAAAAACAACAATGACAACAAAAATTATAGTATATAGTGTTTATGTGGAGCCTGACAGTATTCTAAGAACTTTACAAATACTAAATCATTTGACTCTATGAGGTAGATATTATTATTATAATTTTCATTTTCTAGAAAAGTACAGTGAGGCACGAATGGATTAAGAAACTTAAGCCAGATAGTTATTGAGATGCGATTTAGGGGGAGCATGGGAGGAATAGATGAACTCTAGATAGAGCTGAGGGGTGGGAGGGAAAGGGAGGGGGCAGGGGATTACTAAGGATGATGGAATGTGATAGACATCATTATCCAAATACATGTATGAAGACACGAATTGGTGTCAACAAACTTTATATACAACTAGAGATATGAAAAATTGTGCTATATAAGTAATTGTAATGCATTCCACTGTCATTTATTTTTAAAAAAATCAATAAAAAATAAAAAAGAGATGGGATTTAAATTCAGATATTTGGGTTCCAAATTTTATGCTCTTAAACTAAACTACCAAGATTATATTTTAAGGGCAGAATTGTATCTTTAAGCCTCCAGAATCAAACTGAACAACTCTTTTGTGTCATATTGTTGCTTTAATCAATTTTTTTTTTTCCAGTACTGGAGATTGAACTTGCAGCCTCTGTGCCTACTAAAAACATAACTCCACACTGAGCTACATCCCCATACATCCCCAGCCCACAACTTCCTTCTTTTCCCTTTCCTACTAACATCTTTTCTTCTTTGGGGAACTATTCCAGTAAAGCACATTGATGGAGCAGCTGCAGCTCCTGGAGACGTCCCCTGGCCTCAGTATCATAATTTGCATGACTGAAGAAGGAACCCTGTGAGTTCTGCAGGCTCCTCCTAAGTTCTTGCTAACTATGTTGCCTTCCTGGTGAGTCCCTTCTCTTTCCTCCAAATCAGTGTCATTTCCATAATCAAAGACACTGTGATCACCTTCCTGGAAAAATACTCTACTTCCCAAAGGCTCATTCCTGGTCATGAAGACCCATCCATATTCACTTGCTAAGTCCCTGAATTTGATGTTGTGTTACCTACTCCTCAACTATTTTATAATCCTTCCATTGTGGTCTCTGAAAGATCCTATCTTTCACAATGTCAGTGAACTTTCCCTTCACCTTTTGCCTCTAACTGAAATCCAAAAATATTGCTTCTTCATCCTCAAATCACTACTAAATCTAGAGGTAAGGCATTGTTCCTGTTCCCTGTCAGCACTACCAAACTAGTATCCTTCTCTTCTATTTAAAACCTTTGGTTCTTTGAGGTTCATGCCATCAGACTAAGCTTTACCTGTCCTTGTTGTTATTAATTAATCTTTAGTTCTCTCCTCCTCACTCCTAGATTATAACTTCTGTTTCTGCATCATTTTCCCCTTTACATTTCTCTGGAGTTTCCACATCCACACAGATGGTAAATCTAATACCCTGGCCTCTGAGTTCCTTGATGTCTTCTTTCATCCACTCTCCTCAGGCACCCACAGGAATAATAGTACCTCATACATTATTTTAATTGCAAACTGTATTTTAACTCTCTAGCTCATTCTATTCAGTATTTGTTCAATCACACCAAGACTTCCAATCCATTAACACTTCTACCTTTACATGATCCTTCAGACTTTCATGTATTCTTACTTCCTTATCTGGCTTAGATTCCTTTGCATTCACCCCCACTTCTCCTAGAACTCTTTCCTTGACCTTCCTGGAAAAATACAATCACTTGCTTAACTTATGCTCAAGTAGCTGTATATATTTCTTTAAAAAAACAAACTTCCCACATCTATTTCCCTTTTCAGCTAATACTCTACCCTCTTATTTAACTGAGATAGTAGAAAATATCACAGGTTAGTAAATCATTCATCTACTAGTCTTTCTAAACCTGTACCCATATACCAGTCTATCCTTTTCTTACAATGAATAAAGTGTCCTTACTCATAACTAAGGTCAATCCTCAGCTCTTGGACTTTCTCATTTTTCAAAGACATTATTTGAATGTTCTCTCAACATAATTCCCCTCTTTATTTGGCCATATATGACTCTGATAAATCATCACCTACCAACACCAACATCCTTGCTTTGATTCTGTAACCCATCAGCTACTCAACCATTTCTTGCTCCCATTTATAAGCAACAACACATGCTGTTCAATTCCTTTCCCTTCATTCTTCTTCAACCAATGAGAACAAACAGTTACCACTCTACTCTTAAGCTCTTATCTGACCTCCATGTTATCACATTCCAACGGATAAGTTCAGTCTCCTTTTTTTTTTTTTTATTTGACCTAATGGCATCATTTGACACATTTGATCTGACCACCTTCTCTGAAAAACTACACTTGGTTTCTTTTGCCGATTCCTTCTCATCTTTCTCACTTGTTGGAATGTTCCAGGGCTCAATTCTCATCTACTTTTCTCATACACATGTTACTGGTTATGTCATCCACCATCTAGTTCTACAGCTTGAAAATCCATTTATAGATTAACAACTCCCAAATTTATATCTGTAGCCTGAATGTCCTTCTTCAAGGACAGAGTCAGTCCAAATGGCCTACTTGATATCTCCACTTGAAATTTAAAAGGCATTTCAGGGGCTGGGGATGTGGCTCAAGCGGTAGTGCGCTTGCCTGGCAGGTGTGCGGCCCGGGTTCGATCCTCAGCACCACATACAAAGATGTCGTGTCCGCCGAAAACTAAAAAATAAATATTAAAAATTCTCTCTCTCTCTCTCTCTTTCTCTCTTTAAAAAAATTAAAATAAAAGGCATTTCAAAGTAATATGTTCCAAATTAAATTCTGGTTCCCTTTTCCACTCAATCATCACCACTAAAGCTGCTCTTTCATAGTTTTTTCCATCTCAGTAAGTTAATTCATTTTTCTTGTTGTTCAAGCCAAACCTTCAGATTAATTAGTAGAGAGGTCTCTAGAAAGGTAGATACCCCAGGGCAATTTAACCAGACCTGCCCCAGCAAGTCATAAAGGAGAGCTCATTGTTGTCACTTCATAGGCCCTTTGGAAAATATTTGAAGACACCCCACAGGTAGGCTGCTCATGGATATTGCCCCAGTTGTCTTACACTAGAGACAGTCTAGTGTCTTGACTCTTATTATCATGCATGCTACATGCAATTTTTTTATTAATTAGTTGTATCTTTAAATTCTATTGGAATGTAATCATTCCTTACCCACTCCCAAATAACTGTCTTAGCAGAGAAACCTTTCCTGATGACTCTCTTAAGAACATGACCCTATTCTTTCATCTTCTGGTTCCTTGCTTTGCTTCATAGCATTTATTATTACTGACATCTGTTACCACTGACATCTTTTACATTTATATTTTTTCTGTATCCTTCAACTTATGTAAACTCCATGAGAGAAGAGACCCTCCACTGTCTGGCACAGAATAGGTGTCTAACTGTGGTCTATCTATACTACAACTTACCCTGTTCTGATAGAATATGGCTTCTATAACACTCTCTGTTCATGTCAACATCAAAACCAATCTTCAAACTCTACTTTGGGGTAGCATTTTAAGAAACATTTCTAAATTTTTCTGGGAATATGTGATCTCTCTCTCTTAATATGTTGTTTCTCTGCCTCATATGATGATTGATTACATTATAGGTTCTAGAGTAAGATAAAGCTAGTTTTGGTTCCAGGTTGTGCCACTTTATACCTTATTAGGTAAATTATTTCTAACCTGAGCCTCAGATTCCTTATTTATATGTAGGAACAAGAGTATCTGGCTCATTAGTGTTACTGTAAGGACAATGCATGAAATTAAATAATGCAAATAAAGCCCTTAGCAAATTCCCACCAAGTGGTGAGTTTTCACCACATTTATTCTTATTAATTCCATTATTTTACACTATCTTTCCCCTTCGACTGTAAACTGCAAAAAGGAAGATACAACGTGTTACTCATTTTTGTATTCCCTAGAATATTTGGTGAAGTAACTTAAAGAATGAAGCAAATTAGATTTATACCATGAAAATAATTACTGCTACTTCTTGATCTCTTTCTCTAAAGTAACGTAAGCTGAAGAACTGGTGCATGACATTTATTTAAACCAACAAATCATGAAAGGATATCTGCTGTAAAATTGGGTGTGTGAGCTTTTTTTGTATCTCTACAATAGAATGGAAATAAATGAAAACAATCTACTGCCATCTACTGATAATTCATTGGAATTGCATAAATCAATGGGAATTGAACTTCAGAACCAAGATTGAAGGACTTTTTTTTTTTTAAGAAATTTTTCCACAATATCTTTATTTCATTTATTTTAAGGTGGTGCTATGGATTGAACCCAGCGCCTCACATGTGCTAGGCAAGCGCTCTATCACTGAGCTACAGTCCCAGCCCAGAACTCTCAACTTGGGAATCAACTTAACAAAAGAGGTGAAAGATCTATATAATGAAAATTACAGAACCCCGAAGAAAGAAATCAAAGAAGACCTTAGAAGACGGAAAGATCTACCTTGTTCTTGGATAGGCAGAATTAATATTATCAAAATGACCATCCTACTAAAAGATTTAATGCAATTCTGATCAA